TGTCATGAGATCAGATAAATCAGTTCATCAAACTTAAAAACTTATTTGTGGAGAAAATTTGAATAAATATGGGACTTTCGTCCCCCTCGGTAATCACTGTTTACATGGGTCAATTTCCCAGGCACGGTGGTCAAATACATAGCGTCATACAAATCATACTCCTCGGTTCTTTATAGCCACCAGTAGCTTACCCTGTTTAAGTAATCAGGATTCGTTCAATAAATATTATGATACCCTACACAGCAAAAAAAAATGTAATATCGATCAATGTAATTCAAGCTGATATATGAAATTATGATGTATTAGCAAAAAGCAGATACAATATTAAATCAATGGATGTAATTTTGTTCGCAAAATCGATTTACATCGTACAACATTATTTTACACAACCGATGGATTGACCTGGCTGCAGCAGTTTGGATGTAATATTCAACAACTTTTTTTTCTGTTTATTGTGCAGTATTAGCATAGAGGTAACTCTAAGACCACTGGGTCCCGAAGAAAATCATTATTATTTTTGGCTCACTCAGTATCAGAACAACGGTCCCAAGCAGTCCTAAGCTATTTCACTCACCCCTGCATGTTCTGCATGAATCCACACACCCCTGATGTTATCTGTCAAACTTTCATAGCGAATCAAAACAAACATAGTGTAGTAATAGAATTTCAACTAAAATAGGGTACGTTAATCGTTTGCTTGGGACCAATAGGCTACTAAAGTGGTGAGCCAATTTAAAATCGTTAGTTTCGTATTGATTGTTGGTATTAGATAGGCTCTCTTTAAACATTGTTTTATGTTTTATTTATCTTACAATACATGTATACCCAAGGGGTGGTCACTCTACACACTTCCTTTGCACCAACTTTTTTCTCAGTGTGCATCAAGTGTGCCGGCAGTGCCGAAAGTGCCAGTCACCGGGCTGATTTTTGTGTGTATAATTACATGCTTGGCAACCCGGTATTCTGACAGCTTGAATGTTTTGTTTTTCTTGCCTAGAGATAATACCGGGAGCTCGACCGGGAGTACGCTATCCGAGAAATGGAAGTTAAGCTGTGGGACAGGCTGCGCGATGAATTTGCCACGGAATTTGCCAAGATTTGCGAAACGTTGTTGCAACTTCCTGTGTAGCAGTAAGGTGAAGAATAACAGCGCAATATCACGACGAGCAGCTCCAGCTCCAAATATTGTTATGCATGCAATGTTGACCATTCGCAGCACAGTAGTGAGTTCTCTAATTTTGGTATGCGCAGTTATCCGAATGTGTAAACGCAGAATCTTACGCAGAATAATGACAGGCTTTAGGATGCGCGCTGACCTGACTGTGTTTCGAGGAATCCGTAATGGGATTAGGCAAAAATTTATGGTTGTTGCGGTTTACAAAAATGGGATTGTGTCAACAACAACCATTAAATCATATTTTGACATAAGTGCAGAGATAGTGAAGTGTTGCCAGACCCTTTAAATAACATAAACAAAATCTACCATGAGTGCAATTTTTCTTTATCTAGTAGATGCATTACGAACAAGCTGTAATTTACTAAATTTATCGGAAATCTCTCAAACCTTAAAAATATTAAATAAATGTGTTACTGCGTAGATTATTCCACACAAGGAACTTCGATGAACTTAACGAGATCCTGAAGCTAACAAAGTATCGTGGACCCCCGAAAATCTGAATGACTCTTCATTCATATTAATGGGGTTCGTTTTTAATTTTAACTTCTAGTAACCCTATAAGCATCAGAAAAACATGTGTCTGGTAGCCTTATTTGCTATTTTGTTTCGATTCTGTGTGCCGTTTCACAATGTTCCTTTTGCTTCGCTCCATTCCACTAACTAAATGACGTATGAGGCATTGTTAGTTTGCATGGCGTTCAGATTAGGGAAGGTCCATAAATTATGTCACGCAAATTTGGCCCATTTTCAACCCTTCTCCCATCCTCCCTCCATCCTACATTTTTGTATGAACCTTAATTTTTTTTTTGTATGGCTCGTCACAGTTTCCAAAAAACCTCTCTCCCACCTAAAAGTGTGATATAATTAATGGACGATCCCTTAGTAAGGTCCAAATTAAAAAGTGTTCAGATTAAAAACGGTCAAATTGCGGTACATGAATACCGTTAATTTGAACCCCGATAATTTGAACGCCATGCAAACCAAACGTCATTCAATCAAGGGGTATTCAACTCTGCACACCGAAATCCGTGCCGATAGATTGAGCTGTGCTGAAATCTGTGCCAATGGCTGTGCCTAACATGCATATAAAGGTTTCAATCAAAGTGTGCCTATCAATGTATCAATATCCCATAAATTTGGCAACCCCGAATATTATGACTTATTTTTATTGTGTTTACATTCTCAATTTCTCTGATCGATCAAGGCAAGCATTCAGCTTCCCTTCAATCTCATTAGAGCGTTCGCGGATCGGGAGGGGCAAGAAGAAGTGGAAGCTATCAATACTGTACGGTGTTCAACCCGTCCATCATATTTCGGCTCGATGTCCCTTTGAACTACTGATACAGAAACGAAGGCGTAGCCCGCTTGATGATGGATGAAGTTGCCACCTGCTCCCTGACAAATTATTCCCATTAAAGTAACCAGAATTTGAACGGACGAGAATGCAATCCCACACTAGGAGCACCATCCTCGAGCCAGTTTTAATAAAGCCTCAAATCAAATTTTCAGTAATGAACAAGGCCTTACAGTTGGCTCGCTCTGGGGTCCCTTGATACGAGCTAGTTCAACAGAAGAAAGATGACAGAGATGCATCTGCAAAATAACCAGATCTGGTGACGGGGATGTGCTTGATTTCGGACTCGTTGAAAAGAATGTATTTGCATTTTAACTCCAATGATCCGTTCCTATAAATCCTATACTATTGCACTAAGGCAATCGTACACCTAGCCAGGATTGATGGAATATGTGGGGTTAATACATTTTGTCTTCCCCCAGCAGTACTGGAACTTCAATCATAATTATATGGACATACCTATAAAGTCCTGTGGATATCCCATCGAAACCAATGACTGGTAAGAATATCCGAGGGAAAACGCAGGGGAAAATTTGAGAATTACCATCCCGGTCCATTCTAGTCAAGACCGGTATTCGAAACTGGTTTACTCTGCATAACAAACTTGCAAATGTAGCTCAACTCTCGCAGAAGATCCTGCTCTGATCCCTCGTTGTACGCTTCGAGATCGAATACTCACGACAGTACCAAATATTTAGTCCACAAATAAGAAGCATATTCTGGAATAAACCCTCCAGTGAGTGACCTTTGGTGAAAGCATGTGGGCGAGAATGTGGAGGGGTTCATCGAGTTTCATCCCCGACATATAGTTGGATTCCTTTTGCTTGATGTTGATGAGATTGTTTGCGTGGCCTTCCATATTTATCATCAAGGGCAACCAGAGGGAATTTTTCAAAATGATGCCATCTTCTATCAATAACGTATCGGTCCGTAAGCCCTTATTAGACTAGCTTTTATTTTTCATAGCATTATCTAGCACTAGCGTAGTCAAAATCGGTCGGATGTACACACCATTTCCTTCTCAATTCTTCGATGATACGATAACAGACGTTCCAACAAGGATACGTACTGCGAACGGGCATAAACTGACGGTCAATATGATTTTCATGATCACGGGATCCAACCAGTTTGGTAGGCAGCTTTTGACCAACCGTCGGTCGCTGGAGGTAGCCCGTTTCAGCCGTCTTGACAGCCGTATCGACAAGACCCTCTCGACCGGCCATGGTGTGGATGAAGTCAAGCCCAAATTGAAGCTGTTCTGGATGAAATCGCGAGTCACTGGAATTTTTGCTGTGAATCGGTTGAGATGGACTGAGTTTTGCTAGATTTAAAGAAGTTCATGGTTCATAGAATACTAACAGATTTTTTTTTTCAAGCACTCCTCAAAACTGGTTTGTCGTTCTAAAATTCTTGATTGAATCGTTGTTTTACCAGTTTTATTTATGACAACAAATTCTCTCTCTAGCTTCACTTTTGAGTAAACAAAGTGTTCAACCGAGTGGTCAACCTAAGCAACGACTGGCAAAACGTCAACACTCAACAGTTATGCCATGTTATATTAAATTGTTTGTGTCCTACTTGTCCTATCGCGCCGAACAGTGTGCCGTGCTGTGTTTCGGCACACTGTGCAGAGTTATACATTTCTGATGCTTATAGGGTTACTAGAAGTGCAAATTAAAAATGAATCTCGTTAATATGAATGAAGTTCCGTTCAAATAAGCAGGGAGTCCACGGGGGTCCACGAATCAACAAGGAAATTGGGAAAAAGAAGAAGAACTTAAAAGAAAAAGATTAATGCATATTAAATCTTTTGCTCGCGAGGTATGTTGTACTACTCTGAAAGAATCGGATGCCTTAAATTTTGACCCTTACCTTAGTTGGATACCCTATCTCATCTGTTTTGGTACAGTAAACTGTCGATATCCAGATGTTCTATATCTCGATATGTGAACACTTTTTTTTTTCTATATGTTGATGGTTATCTCGGTCTCTTCAAATAGTCAAAATAGTAGGCTAATGTTGTTCAATATATTAATCTCTTCTTATTTCGATGGACGCTTCAATATCGAGATATGGAGAGTTGACTGTAGCACAATTTCAAAGGGGGAACTGAATGCACAAGTTCTGGTCTTTTAAGGATCTACAGATATCGATGCGATAGAATCTTCTGTACTTGGATCCTTAAGGTCTCAGGTCAAACTTCCAACTATTCCATTCAAAATTGACACGTTTAACAGTTCAATAACCACGTGACAATAGCAAAACCTTTTGCGAGAGAGCACTTCCAGTGTTGCCAATGTAAAAAAGTCAACAATCATAATAATAAAAACCTATTGACCACATCCGACATGTTCTGTTTCCCATCATTGACACACGTTTGAAATTTGCAGCATCATTCCCCCAGAAACATTCAAATTTTGAAGCACAACTTTTCAACCAAATCTCTCCCACACTCTATCTCCATTCCAGTCCTCGATCAGCAGCCAGATGGACGTTTCCAAATTTGCGCTGGATCGGAGCGCCTACTTGAACACGGCAGCCGCCGGAGCCCTGTACGATTCGACGAAGAACCAAGCCAACCCGTACAGCGCCTACCTGGATCCGACAACGGTTCTCACCAAGGCATACTTCGATTCCAAAATGTACCAGGATCGGGCTACGGCGGCCGCCAACTATGCATTCGACATTTCCAAAATCTACGGCTCAACCCAACAGCAACAGCAACAGCAGCAACAGCAGGCACACTCCCAATCGCAGCAGCAGTCGCATCAACAGCAGCACCAACTGCACCATCAGCACCAGCTGAACGGTGGTGCCGATGACCGTGAACCAACTCCGCAGCTGAACGATGTCAATGTGGACATAAAACCACAGCTCGGCGAACAGGTGGACAGTTCACCGTTACATAGCAACAGCTACGGGACAAACAGTGCAAATTTACTCGGTGGAGGAGGTGGTGCCTCCGGATTGTATCAGTATGCCGGGGTGGGGCAATCCGGGGGAAGTGCGGTCGGTGGCTCCGGTTCTGGTGGTGGAGGAACCGGAGACTATCGACGGCCCCTTACGGTCATATTTTGACCTAACTCGGAAGTGATGGACGAAAGAGATTATTGAAGCATAGAATTCTAGTTTGTAAGCCTAAACGATATAGATCAACGAGGTATGTAAGCGTATTACATTGCTGTTTAGTAGTGTTAAGTGCTATGATTTTTCTTTTGAGCAACCCTTCACGGCTATGGCATGCGGTGCGGGAAAGCTTATTTGCTTCGTATCCTATTGCATTGGAAACGAACCGCACATCATCCTTTTTTCGGCGAGTTTTTAACACCGGTAGAAAACATAGCAAACATCGCACCAATCCGTAGCAACATATGATCCACATCATCCACAACACCGGCAAGCGTAGACACAAACATTTTAAATTATGCCACTTTTAGACCAGTTATGGTTGCAAGCATCATCAACTTAGGGTAACAACTTGTACACAACAAAGCACCGTGATTTAGATATATGCTAAGAAGCAGGATTACAAAAGCGAGCTGTACAGCTGAATACGAACTAAATTATTATTCCACATTAGCAGGAGATATGTAGCAGTAAGGTATCTTTCAACGTTAAGCTCTAGCAAATGTAATGTAATTTAAGTTGAAATCTCTAAAGGAACATTCATCGTTTGAAACGGTTTTAACGAAATAGATTGTAACGTACTCGGAAAAGAACAGAATCTCCCAAATACTCTGCTTCTTGGAGTGAATCCAATGTGAAGCGACATATAATATTGAATTGTAAAAAAAAATATTGGAAAATTGTTAAATTATTTCACTATGTAAAAGTACTTTCATCACTTTGTCACCAGCAGAGACAGAATGGACAAATTATGCAAATTAACTGTATTATCATCATTAAGGGTAATGGAAACGAATATTGATTACAACAGAATAAAAAGTAAAATTACTATCATCACCTACTGTCCGCAACTTTATGCCGAAACTGTTCTACATAGTCCCTGCCAGCGTTGCCAGGTCATTTTCTGAAAAATCTGGACTAGTCTAAATATAAAATCTGGAAAAATCTGGAATGCTCCAAAAAATCCTGTTTTTAACATAATCCTATTGAAATCAAAGTGATGTGTCAATCTCCCATAAAAATCTATCAGGATGATCATCTGGAATTTATTCAAAGTCTACCAGAATGTTTATGAAATCCATGTTTAAAAAAATATATAAAGCCAACTTGTTAGCATTGCTGAAATCATCCAAAAGTTGAGAAAATTATTGACACAGTGTTCCAAAAAAGTTTAAATATCCATTACGCAGCATTTTAAAATTGATTTAATTTTTTGGTAAAATACTGCAGAATTTTTTTTTTAGGATTCTGAAGCAGCAAAGAGTCAAGCAACTTTGATGGGATGATTTTTTTTAAACTAATAGTCGATTTAGTCCTTAATATTTGATGCAATACCAGAATATGTCTTAACGATTCTATTAGTTCTATAGAATTCTAATATTACTCTGAGATTGATCAGACTTCCAATTTCATTCTTGACATCATTCAACTCACAACACTCGGTAGACCATTAGGCAATTTTATTTCAAGCTTAAATTCTCCTGGCTGAAGTGACAATCAAAGCCTAACATCGTGGTACTCACGCACAGTTTACCGAAACTATGGGTTACTCCACGTGACCATTACAAATAATTTTATGTCAAAAAATAATATTATTATACAACTAAAATGAAAGTCTGAAAGCGTCATTTTTTAAGTCTCAGAATCTTGAAATGATTCTAAATTCTGGAATTTATATTTTTCCTGTGATCATGAAATTTTTTGTTAGTCTGAATGTACTTCATTTACAGAGTTCAATTTTAATCATCCTAGAATTTCATCATACTTCTATTCTAGACTCCCCTAAACTAATCTTGATAATATCCAAACTTTTTCAGTAACATTCTAAGAGTTATTATCATTATCTCTTGTAACCTCTAATAAATCGCTCTCTGATTCCACAATTCCCTCAAACTGGTAATAATTTCCAAGAATTGGCATAATTTTGTCTCAATTTTTCTCTTTGAAATTTCCTTAGAATATTCCTAATAATTTCCTTGGTACGCTTTTTAGAATGACCGTCACATTCTTTTCAAACTTATTCTCTTCAGTATACTCTAAGTACTCAAGTACTTTGCCAAAATAGCCTTGAAAGTCTCCCAGAAATTTTCAGATTTCTTAAAACTTGATAAAACCTAATCTCCATAGAAACATTGGAAAGAATTCCATTGAAATTATTCTCACGATTCATATCAGCATTCTCCTTAAGTTTCATCTTAAGAATTTTCTATGATTTCTCTTCCGAATTCTAACTTCTTCCTTTCTTCACAAAATCTCCATGCAATTGTTACCAGAGTTTGCAAATTTATACCGTCTCCACTTCAATCAAATGTTGCACAGACTGCATACTTACACTTCACTGTAAACTATTTTCAGAATTACCTTAAAATTCTGAAATCTAGGGCAATTCAGAATTCTAAAGTATTTCAAACTGCTAAGGTAACTCAATTTTCACAGGTACTTTAAAATTTTATTTAAAAATCTAATTAATTATCCTCAAAAATATCACGAACCTACTTAAAGTCCTGGTGGTTGTCTAGATTCGAAAGCCTTGCTAATTTTCCAAAGCTCAATTTATTATGAAGAGCTTTGAGTGTGTTGGTTTATTTCCTTTAAATTCCGATATAATTGCTTATATTTTGACAGATACGCGTATTTCGTCTACTACTTGCAGACTTCATCAGTGCCAAGTACTCAACACCACAATTTATTGTTTTCAATCCTGAACAGTTTTCGATTTCTCTAAATTCCAAAACTAGGAAAATTCCTTCCAGGATTAAAAAAAAAAATATATAGTCAAAATCTTAACAAAAACTCAAAATAAAAAAATCAATCCTGGCTCGATATTTTGAAGAATGAAGAATGTTTAGAAAATGTCTCAATTTTCATGATTCTGCAACCCATTACAAACATGTTGTAACAATTCCATGTATGATGTTGCAATAATGTCCAACGATGGACCTGTAGTAATTAAAGTAGTAAGTTTGGCTTTTTATTTTTTGAGAAGAGGGTCCATTTATTGCAGTGATATTTATAAGCAACACATTTTAAAAATCTGGGAAAATCTGGAACATATTTAAAAAATCTGGATATAAACGTGATCTGTCTATCTGGCAAGACTGCTGAAAATCTGTAAAATCCAGATAAATCTGGAATACTGGCAACGATGGTCCCTGCATCCTTGAGCGAGAGCACACGACCGATTAAATCACCTCAAATTGGAGTTTCGTTCACTCAAATTCGCAAAAAAAAACGAAGGTTACTCATAGAGTGAGTAGATCTTTCCTCAATTTTCCGGGAAAACTTTTCGTGATATTTCACTCAGTCTATTAGAATAGGGCCCTATTATGCAAGTCGTGTCGAGCGTCACTTCTGGTCACTCGTCTATTTTGGTATAATAGAAGTAATAGCAAATCAGACCGGTTAACAGAAGTGACGCTCGACTCGACTTACATAATAGCACCCATACTCACCCATGAGAACGACCCAAATTTGAGTTTAGTTATCTAAAGTGCAGGAACTCAGCGATGAGTAAATATGCCTCTTATTTTTCGAAAAAGTAGTGTGAATGTCGGTCACTATGTTGCACATACATGGAGCGTCATATATAATTCAGTTTTACATTAAAGAACGTGTAAATTTATGGAAGATGCCATGAGATTTTCCATATATTGTATGCAACCGCCCATCCTTGTAACCAACATTTCTAGCAAGCTGCTGGTTTATGTGAAAAGGAAGTTTACATGCAGAAATGTTTGCATGCATGGATGTTTACATCATCTTTAAAATTCAGTTTTTTTTTCTTTGTAGTAAAAGAGTTCCTATATTCATTCCACTGTAAAGTACGCTTTGCTTGATTAAACATTTTCCGAGTCAGTTTCCTTACACGGGGAACCAGAACTACCCAACGGTTGTGTTCATTAAACTTACTTTAGAGTTAATGCCTCTCAATTGCTCTCTAGTTGTTGTCAAAAACGAAAAGAGCAAAACAACCCAAAATTGAGTTCTATTCACCTAACTCGACAGTTCCGTGCATCAAGTTAAAATTGAATAAGTTGTGTAAAACTTAATTTTGAGTAGTTTGAACTTGACGTTGAGTGAAAACAACTTAAAAGTAAGTAATCCTGTTTACATGCGAGCGAATGACAACAACTCAAAATAGAGTAGGCGCTAGAACTCTAAATTGAGCTGGTGCACGGAACTGCCAACCCTGGGAGAAAAGAACTCAAAAATAGGTACTTGTTTCTTTCCGTGTAGATTTTCTAATCTAGTACACTACCATGAAACATTTCTATCCGTTGATCTCACCTTGATTGGACAACTGTTGTTAAAAGCATGCAATATATTTTTTTTGTTACTGAATAGAGGTATTTTCGAGATCTGTGTGTTAATTCTTCTTTCCAGGAAACTACCCCCCGCTGCGAGATAAGAATAATAGACATTCCAGTTTGTTTTCATGATATCTCTGAAGATTTCTTTTATAATGTAATTCACTGTATATTCAAATAATATACGAAGCTACCAATGTAAAGGTGTGTCCATATATTAATTTGGGTATTTCTACAAGCATCATCACAGGGTATCGTTTCTACACTGAAAGAAATCAACCTTTTAATGAGACGTTTGCGTGTAGCAAAAACAAATTAAAAATTAAGGCCAATTAGGGTCCATCCATAAATGACGTAGCATATTTCTGACCAATTTAGAACCTCCTTCCAATCGTAGCTTTTCATACCATTCATATTATACACACCAAATTTAAATCGCTGAACATCAGCAAAATTTTGCTAATTTTAGACTTGATGAAAGATCAGCAAACGTTCCAGCAAAATAATGCTGCTGATTTTTTCAGCAATTCCAACTTCTGTCAAAATGACAACCTTTTACTGAAAATCAGCAATATTTCTTTACTGATCTTTCAGCAATTAAAAATGTTGACGTTTGGCAGCATTTTGCTGATTAAACAATTAAATTCAGTAAATCAAATTTGTTTTCACTATATGAGCTTCCAGCTTCTGTAAATATACGAATAATAAAGATAAAATCGCCAGACTACTTTCCAAGTATCATTTATTAAATATAACCAGTGTCCGAGCCAGTGTCCTTACCTACATAATTTTATCTATTTTGTAGTTTTTTTTTAGCTCTTCTTCCTCCTGTGGTTTGAATGGTGGTGTACGAATGCAAAAATACTTGCGACTGTGATGCTAACAGTTTGACAGCTCTTTTACTGGGTGTAAGTTTATGTTAGCTGATGTTTTCAGTAAAAATATCGTTTGCTGTTTTTCAGTAAAGCATTCGATTGCTGGATGATCCAGCAATCCGTTTTACTTATATTGAAAACTTAAATTTGGTGTGTATAGCTGGTCACAAATTATGAAACTCCTCTACCCCCTCACATGCTACGTAATTCATGCATGTTCCCTTAGGCGTAAATAGGTCAGACATTAAGAAATTTAAAATAGCGACAGATTTTATTCTGGAGAATAAAATAAAATATCGATTCAACGCAAAAATAGATCGCTCCAATTTTTATTTCTTCCATTTTATGGAGGGGGAGGGGGCAATCCCATTTCAGGGTAGAGATAGCCCATATTTACGTCAATGTATTTTTGATGTAACCTACGTTTTTTTTATAATTTTAAGACAAAACCACTCTATTTTGAGTTGTTCTCATCGATCGTGCTGGAAAATTCTATCCCCCTATGAGTCGACACTTGAAACTGATACTAATGGTATGAAACATAGAATCCACGCAGCATAAGTTGTACCATAAATGGCATACAAAATTTATGGTGATGGTGTCTAGTGACAAATAGCCGAACTAGCAAGTTGTGTAACAGATAAAGATTGCA